GCCGCTCTCACCACTTGACACTTCCTACGCCACTTTTACTAACATCCTTCCTCATTCACAATAACTCCACATCATCATCATCATCGTAGGGCTGTATGTTCGTCTGCCGTCCATGAGCGTGCTTGAAACTGTTCAATGACACCCCAATTGGAGTTTGCCAACCAACTTAACGCACAACGAAAACAATTACAAACTTTGTATTTGTAGAATTAAATACAAGGCACGCTTCATTTTAAAAACATTGCCAGCACTAATGCTAAAATCAGTGCAAAACCCCATTGACATGCTAACGGAATATTAAAATCGACTTGATGAGTCCTATACCTTCAAATGCCATTTAGCATATTCCAAAAAGTATTATGACACTGAGAATATAGCAACAAAGTGCAGTGTGACTGTGTTTTTTTTAATGATGGATATTGTTGTCATTAGCACACAATTGTTTTTAATGGGCATCATAATCTGCCAATGAAGCTTCACTTTGTGTGGCTGCCTTTGTATGTCGTAGCTGATATGAATCTCTTCAAACTAGCAGGGATCAGGTCAAGTCGTTAGCATTCAGCTAATTTTGGACTTGTCTGCCATGTAGTTTCCCCAGCAACGCATTACGTCAGCGCCACCACCAGCAAAAGTGGCGTATTGTCAAACATACATATTATGTATGTATTAATAACATGTTCGTTTTGTTTTCTGTTTACTGAGAATTGCATTCTGACTTGTTCAATAAAGATTATTTAAAAAAAAAAGTATTGTCAAACATACATCGCAATTATCTACCAGGTATTTTTTTTGCTCCTTTTCAACTTGTTTGGGCAACATAAGCCATTCTTTTTTTTTTCGCATCGCACGTTGCAGCCCTAACAAGGTCGCACTGAGAGATTTACGGAACAAAATACGGACAATCCCGTAACAGTTTAGGGCTTTACATTTTTACTTCCCAAAAAGAAAGGAGTGTTCTAAAATAAATTGGTCAACGTGCAGGCATGAAAGAACACGAAGCTATGATGGTGGTTTAGACTCTCAGGAGTTGAACACATACACGTTTTTTAAATCAACAAATAATCGTTTTATTTATCGTAGTTTCAGCCTCAATAAAGCCACTTTGTTTTCCCATAATCACCTTCGTAAATACTAAACTTCTGAATCGAGATTCCATTGCTTTGTTTTGCAGATTTCGAACATTTAACGTTAAAATGTGAATGTTCTTGTATAAACGTCAGATTTTTGACATTTCTACAGAAAGCTACTTTTTCCTTGTCCCAATCCATTGTTGGTCACTTTATGCCCTGAGGTTGACTGGCGACCAGTCCAGGGTACTACGGACTGCAAAGAGTGGCGGATGAAAAAATGACAAGGAGCCAAGACATCAGGCGCTGCTTTTGGTTGGTTACCTCTTGGAAGAAGTTCTCCATGTCTGTCTCCTGCTGTTTATCTTTATCCCAGGGGCCAGGTCGCGCGCTCAATCCCGCTCACGCGCGGCTCCACTCATTCCACGTCGCTCCACCGCACGTGCAAATACAATCCGTCTGCAAACGTTTGGAACGCTTTCCGTTGATCCTTCTTCTACTTCTTCTTCCAAACTTCACCGTCCTTCGGTCCTGTGCGCGTTCCCGCCCGCCGCGCGCCCGCTACTTCGTACGGCCAGGGTGCACACGCTCGTCCCCGCCGGCAGGCCAGGCAGCAGCACACAAGTCGCCGCGAGGCTGCTCCGAACTTCCCAAAGTTTGGTCTTCTCACTCTCTGTAGACAATGAGCATCAAGTCCCGCCCCCGTCCTCACCTCCCCCTCCTCCTCACCCCCTTCTGCCACAGCCACGCGCCCCTCGGACGCCTCCTGCTGTCAACATGTGGCGCCCGTGACCATTCCACGTTTTAAACAGATGCAATCGCGAGATATCAAATCAGGTGACGTCTTCGCACGAAAGTCAATTTTTCGAATCTTTTTTTTTTTTTAATTAATACACGATATCCCAAACCGTTGCGTGAGTCAAAATGATGTACAACAAAAATTCTGTTGAAAAAAAATTGTGGAGCCCCCAAAACAATATTTAAAACGTGTACTTCCGCTCACTAATATCACGTGACTCTTTGCAAGTGCGACGAGTCCATTTACTGTGGTTTAAGAGATTTTTCTAACGGTGTTCAAAACAAGCTAAGTCACGTCCGCAAGCGAAAGTAAACGTTTCGTTTATTATTTACAAAACATAATAACATATTAAGAGTTGAGTTTGCTTGCTAGCTCGGAAAGTGGCGTCAGCCAGATATTGTTAGCTTTGTGCTAGCAGTGCTTGTCGCCACTTGTATGTTGGCCTTTTCACAATTTATGTTATTGTATTCAGGATTTGGAAAATAAGATGCATTTTTGAGGAATCTCAGAAGAAGACATATACTGTTCAATAGATAGAAGACAAATTGTTCACTCATAGGATTCAGTAGTGAATCTTGGTGGCGCACGGTGCAGTTTGAAAAAATGAGATAAACTCATGTTTTAGTGTGAGTGGCAATAATTTGGGCAACACAGCACATTAACATTAAAAGATTAAGTAGAGTTCACCATATTAGACAGTGTCAAGATTTTAACTCTTTTTAACAGTGATTTTAAAATGGAAAGAATTGTTAATTGTTGAATAGAACCCCATTCATCCACTGACAGCCACTCGTCCGTCTTCACCATCTCTGAAACATATTTTTTTTCTCTTCCTCTCTCTTTTTCTCCTCCCGTTGTTATTGTTTGATCGGTCATCAGCATCGCTAAACTTCCCGTGAAGGAAAAACAGGAAGTAGAAGACAAACATTTCCTGTTTGGACTTCTAACGATGGAAGATGATAACGGTGCAAAGTCAAGTGAAGTGTGCTTGTGCGCGTGTTGTCCAGTTGAGTCCCACCTGGTGGAATATTGAGCAGAGGTGGGGCACTCAAGTTGGACTCCATTTTAGGACTTGAGGTTTGCTCTGCCAAAAATTGACTTGGTATTCATGAGACTCGGCTTGATTAAGACTTCAACAATAGGAGACCGGTTCGCAGCTATTGAAAAAAAAATATGTTGGTGAACACTTTAGCACAGCTAAAAAATACAAGTTGAGCGATAGTGTTTAGGCTACATTGGTGCCATGACCGACGAGAGCCTCGACTTGTGAGTTTTTAGAGATTTCAGCCGCCCCTTGATCTGTTTTATTTTTTGTCTGCAGATACTAGTGCGCTTCTAAACTCCACCACTACATGGCGGCAATAAATTTCACAGCATCTGGCCACCATCAAGTCACATCGCTTTCCTTGCAGCGAGCGGAAGGACAATGGCAGTTGGAGGCGTTGATGTTTCACTAACTGCCACGAGACAGAGGAACTGAATTGAGTGCAAAGTAGCTCATGTGGAAAAATATGAGAGAGAAGCTATGATTTGATTTATGACCTGCTTTACCCAAGTCCCGACTTGACTTGCTTGATTTTTGCTATTCCAACTCGGGACAGAGATTATTTAAATTCACAAAACAAACAAAACAATTAAAATTGATGAAACATTTTCATAAGCGAAATAAAATGAACATGAGTTTAAAAAAAAGAAGAAGTTTGAACAGTGGTTTGAGAATTGCATCGAACTGTGATACCCAACATTTAATGTGACCTTTAAAAAAACCTTGCACTTAAAAATACTGCATGAATTAAATCTAAAAAACAAAAACGAATAAAAACTAAAGTAAAACATAGCATTGTTGGAAAAAAAACACAAACTAGCAAACGTGTTCTAAAAACCTATTCAAACTTGAATTGGAGGCGGAAAAAAATTGTCAATGCTGCCATCTGGCGTACAATCCAACACACTACATGATCCCCCGAATAAGATTTCTTTCTGATTTCCGTGTGTGAGCGTAGCGAACAACAGGGGGCGCGCTAGTGCAACTAAAAGGCGTTGACAGTACGCCGGTTATAATTTATGAAGTGAACTTCAAACAGACCTCCAAACTGTAAGCAAGCACTTCGTATTTAAGGAGCCATTTTGCAGCATGTTACCTGGACATTGAAATACATACATAAGCAGATATTACGTCACCTAATTAAGGAGATAATGGGAAGGAAATATATCATATAATTTTGGGATGTCCTGGAAGGCAACACTTGACCTAATTAGACGGTTAGAGGTTTTTATTATTATTGATAAGAAAAATAAATGTCATTTTATCACGGAAGCGTGTTGCTGCCACGGCAGACCATAAAGCTTAGTATCATGAACTTGTTACATGATCAATTTCACGTGTTGACGCAATAAAGTTCGTGTTTAGTACGGAAGGTTGTTGTCACCACAAAAGAATAAAACAGTTTAGGATAACATTATAACGTCAAACGATGTTGTAATGTTTTAATGTGGTCCATTTCATGTTTTACTGTCACCATTTGCTGCGTTTTAACATCGGAGTCGTTAGAAGGAATAAGTTTCACATTTCGGTGGGATACATTTCACGTGAAACAGTTTCACGCTTTACGTCATAAATTTCACGTTTTAACAAGACAAGCAAATTTAAGCGTCTTTGTTTTTAAATCTTAAGTCTTTTTAAAAACGTGGCATTTTTACGTTATTATTATTTATGACTATTACTGCTACTATATCATAACCAGTCGTTTTATAGAAGAGCAGATCGTTAGGTAGCAAGTAGCCTTGACTTAGAATACACAAAAATCAATCAAAAAGGGGTCGTCATTGATTTAAAAAGGATGAAACTGATGATGTTTCATATGCAATTCATCACATTAAAACGATTCTTCTTATTCTGATTCTGGATTAAAAATGTGAACCATAACATGTTACAATTTGGTTACGAACTTTTTTTATATGCGTGGCAGCAATACGGTTCTGTAGGATAGTTCTAAACGATTACAAGTCATGATAAATAATTGTTATGTCGTTTTGTTTTCGCTCGCTCTCGGATCCAATTCAACAGATGCACACGGACGCTATCCGGGCGCGTCTGAGGACCTGCGGCGCGCGACCGCACGCAAGGGGCGAGTGCGTGCGCGCAGCCTCGCACGCGCGCAACAGAGCCGAGCCGAGCGCGTCACGCACAAGCACGCACGCAGCAGACTGAAGAGCAGCCAGCAGCCCCGCACACAAGTTCCGCCTGCAAGGTAACAGCCTGCTTTCTTCATTCTCCCTCAAAATGACGCTCGTTATCATCATCATCATTGTCGAAATCTTCTTTTGTGCATTTTGTCTTTTGTGAGTCACACGCGCCGCGTGACCGGCGGACAAAAGATGCGGGGCCGAGACGCACGGCGGCGTGGACGTCAGGGATATCCCGTGGGAGGGGGCGAAATAGGACATTTTAATACATCAAACACTTTGCGCGCCCAATTGATTTTATTGGTGGAATTTATTCTCATTTTTAATTTTCCATCTTTCCCGGCGACAAGGGAACGTGAACGAGCGTGGAAAAAAAAAGGGGCGTGTGCCGCGTGCTGGTGAAGGGGCTGGGGCGGACACGCGCTCGCTCGCGCTTGTGGGAGGAATATGCTGCAATCATATTCAAATATATCAATGTCAATATATACAGAGTCGACCTAAATAGTGCCGCTCAAAATGCCTTTTTAGTGATCAGGGAGTGGGGAATGGGCGAATGATTGCGAGCGCAGCTGTTGCCCACATTCCCCAATTATACGAGAAAAAAAAATGTAATTATGAATAATGGAATCGGCATCCATCTTTGCCGTGTTCGACGTCGTTCAGTCGGTGGGAGCAACACGCACGCACACGCGCCAACTTCATGTGTGTCTGTATAGCGGTCCTTTGTTTGCAGCGACGCGCATGCGCAGTGTGCGCAGGGTGTGGATGGGAGAGATGCCACCTTGCCTGGCGGGGAAGAGGCTGGGGGGCATGTGTTACTCCAACCCCCCC